CCCCGTTCTTGAGACGAACGCAACCGGATTTGTGACGAACTCCCCCCCACGGACCGTGCCTTGACTCCCTTGGGCCACGCAGGTCGTTCCCCCTTTGCTTGGAAATGGGAAGCCATGTTTCGTTTCTGTCGCCATGCGCTGTACTTACCGCACTTTAGGACGCTTTAGGCCCTTTGCGTCGCCAGAGGGAGCAACAAATGCCATGTAAATAAAGTAGATGGAAGTTCTAGGTTTGGTTCCCAGAAGGGTTCGTTCTCCTCCATCCAGCTGCCATTAATATTTTTTTACATATTTATTTATTTATTTTTGGTTCACGACCAAAGACCGTTGCCTTTTTAAAAAAGTTTTGCGCTGAAGAAACGAAGCTCACAAGCGGAGAGTTGTGTCTTCTGCCCCACAACGCGGCCGCCCGGGGGGTCCTGAGGGGGCAAAGTGGGGCCCTCTGTCGGCTCCCTCCCCGGCCCGAATCCCCTTCTTTCAGAATTGTGATAATGACAATAATAAAGCAGAAGCTCTTTTCAAAATCTTTCTGGAGTTTGGTTTGTGGCTCTCTCTTAATGTCTGGACACATCTGAATGCTTTTAGCGTTCTTGTTATGGTTTTATATTATGTGATAGTGTTTTTCAATGGTTTATGGTGATGTTGGGCATTGAATTGTGGCCATTGTAAACTGCCCTGAGTCATCTAAGGGCTGAGAAAGGCGATATACAAATATAGTAAATAAAAGAGAATGCCTTGGGCAGCGGGATCCATCCCTCCTGCTTAACGTAGCCGACATTGAGTATGATGGGCATTGTAGTCCAAAGCGTTTGGAGAGTATAATAATAATAATAGTAATAATAATACACTTTATTTATATTCCGCTCTATCTCCCTAAGGGGACTTAGGGCGGATTCCAGAATACATATATGGCAAACATTCAATGGCGTTAACAAAGACAGACAGTACACGGACACAGGCAAAGGCTTCCCTCTTTTCCATCTCCGGCATCTGAAGCTGTGCTCGACTCAGCCACAGGGAGGTGCTGTTGGTCCATTTTTCCCTATCAAGAAGCCTGTTGTCCATGGACACCTTCCTAATCGAAATGCCGGCATATTTTTCAGGGGCGCCTTTTACCTCCCCGCCAAAGCAGTACCTATTTATAGAATCCTAGAATCAAGGAGTTGGAAGAGACCTCATGAGCAATCATCCAGTCCAACCCCATTCTGCCAAGAAGCAGGAATAGTGCATTCAAATCACCCCTGACAGATGGCCATCCAGCCTCTGTTTCAAAGCTTCCAAAGAAGGAGCCTCCACCACACTCCCCGGAGAGTTCCACTGCTGAACGGCTCTCACAGTCAGGAAGTTCTTCCTCGTGTTCAGATGGAATCTCCTCTCTTATAGTTTGAAGCCATGGCTCCCTTGCGTCCTAGTCCCCAGAGAAGCAGAAAACAAGCTTGCTCCCTCCTCCTCTTCCCTGTGGCTTCCTGTTGGGGTTCAGCCTGAGCTTGAACCTGATTCTCGGTTTGTACCTCCTGATGCTAATGAAAATATATTTACTGATGCTAATGAAAATGTACTTCCTGATGTCAATGATCCTGAAATTAGTGACAATGCACCTGAAATTAGTGAGGAAGAAACTTCTGCATATTTGGAAAATGAAAATACCAGTGTTCATGAGAATGTTTTAGGGGGAAGCCATGACCTTTCACTCCCTTCTGCACCTGGGATCCCTAATGAGAATAGAAGGGGGCAGATCTGGCAAGACAGGAGTCAATCACTCAGATTGCAAAGGTCATCGAGATTAAAAGAAAAACAAACAAGGGCTTCAAAGCAGGGAGGCGTAGCACGGAACCAATTCTTCGGCTTTAAGTGCCTTTCGCCGGGCTGACTTTCTCAGTTCAGGCATCATTTCAGATTGATGAGTACCTTGGCAATTCTCCCGGTTCCCTTGGCCTTCGTCTTGAGAAATTTCTAGGACACCAAGTACGGTTAGTGGATTGCTAACAGGTTCCAGTGTTTTACAGTGTGGGTTTGGGTTTTGATCTTGTTCATGGACATTCATGTTTGCTGATTTTGCTGTGGCTTTTGATTTTGCATTTTTCCTTTATTTTGTAACCATTTTTCTTCAATAAAAAAGGATTGTTTTCTCACAGTCAAGTGTGGTGGATGGTTATCTTAGGGCCTCGTTCCCTGCTCTGGGTTGCAACACTTCCTCTCACGTATTTATACATGTCTGTCATATCACCTCTCAGCCTTCTCTTCTTCAGGCTGAACATGCCCAGCTCCTTCAGCCGCTCCTCATAGGGCTTGTTCTCCAGACCCTTGATCATTTTAGTCGCCCTCCTCTGGACACATTCCAGCTTGCCAATATCTCTCTTGAATTGTGGTGCCCATGGAAGATGGAGCAAGAGCACCACCCCGTGGCCAGAGTCGGGCACAGCCTCCAGACGCCAGAGATGGGGAAAGATGAGGAAGCCTTTGCCTGTGTCTGTGTACCGTCTGTCTTTGTTCATTGTATAACGGCATTGAATGTTTGCTGTGTATGCGTACTGTAATACGCCCTGTATCCCCGGAATATAAATAAAGTATATGATGGTGATTAAGTGTGTAATTGCTCTGCTGAAGATAAACACTCGGAAACACGGAAGAAGGAAGACTGCCGCCAAATAAACACAAAGGAACGTAGTAATACATTTGTTTTACTGGTTTATATATCAATCCAAAGGTCGACTACACATGGCACCTACTCTACTACAATGTCCACACGCCGATTATTGATGGAGTTACAGGAACGCATTTTTTTGTCCTTTGCTTTTTGGTATTATTAAACAATAAAGATATTCATGTACACAGTTAAGGGGCAGAAAGAGAGAGAGAGAGAGCGGTCCGGGCTCCTCTGCCGGCGCATCTCGGGCGGCATCCGCTAGCGTTAGTCTGGTCAACAAGAAGAAACGGGAACGCAGGGAAGTAGAAATCGCCTTTATATACAAACCAGGGCCTGTCACCGCCGCAACCTGCTGAGACTCGCACGCAACCAACGTTTATATCCGCCGCCCGTGGCGGAAACTCTTCGGCACAGCACAAACCATCATCATAAATTAAAAAAAGAAGAAGGAATACAAAGGTGCAAAAACCCTCCATTCTACAGCTTTTTCTGGGGTGAAGTTGGGGAGTTTTGTCTTAAAGCGCTCAGAAATCCAAGCAGCGTTCGTACCTACCGGTGTGTAGTTACAAGGAAGAGAGAAAGGAAAGGAAAGAAGGTCGCGAGAAGAGAGGAAGGCAAGGAAAGGAAAGAAGGTCAAAGAGGAAGAGAGGAAGGCGAGGAGAGGAAAGGAAAGAAGATCGCAAGAAGAGAGGAAGGCGAGGAGGAAAGGAAAGAAGGTCGTGAGAAGAGAGGAAGGCGAGGAGGAAAGGAAAGAAGGTTGCGAGAAGAGAGGAAGGCGAGGAGGAAAGGAAAGGAGGTCGCGAGAAGAGAGGAAGGCGAGGAGGAAAGGAAAGAAGGTCGTGAGAAGAGAGGAAGGCGAGGAGGAAAGGAAAGAAGGTTGCGAGAAGAGAGGAAGGCGAGGAGGAAAGGAAAGGAGGTCGCGAGAAGAGAGGAAGGCGAGGAGGAAAGGAAAGGAGGTCGCGAGAAGAGAGGAAGGCGAGGAGGAAAGGAAAGGAGGTCACGAGAAGAGAGGAAGGCGAGGAGGAAAGGAAAGGAAGGTCGCGAGAAGAGAGGAAGGCGAGGAGGAAAGGAGGTCGCGAGAAGAGAGGAAGGCGAGGAGGAAAGGAAAGGAGGTCGCGAGAAGAGAGGAAGGCGAGGAAAGGAAAGAAGATCGCGAGAAGAGAGGAAGGCGAGGAGGAAAGGAAAGGAGGTCGCGAGAAGAGAGGAAGGCGAGGAGGAAAGGAAAGAAGGTCGCGAGAAGAGAGGAAGGCGAGGAGGAAAGGAAAGGAGGTCACGAGAAGAGAGGAAGGCGAGGAGGAAAGGAAAGAAGGTCGCGAGAAGAGAGGAAGGAAAGGAAAGAAGGTCAAAGAGGAAGAGAGGAAGGCGAGGAGAGGAAAGGAAAGAAGATCGCAAGAAGAGAGGAAGGCGAGGAGGAAAGGAAAGGAGGTCACGAGAAGAGAGGAAGGCGAGGAGGAAAGGAAAGAAGGTCGCGAGGAGGAAAGGAAAGGAGGTCACGAGAAGAGAGGAAGGCGAGGAAAGGAAAGAAGGTCAAAGAGGTAAAGAGGAAGGCAAGGAAAGGAAAGGAAAGGAGGTCGTGAGAAGAGAGGAAGGCGAGGAGGAAAGGGAAGAAGGTCGCTCCGGCGTCAAAGAGGCCGGGAATTGAGCGGCACCGGAAGCAGAGCCTCCTCTCCTTCCCAATCTCAGCTGGGTCGTGTGTTTCCATCAATGTGCAAAACTATAGAAAAAGCACCCTGGAAAAAAAGCAGGGAAACGCGCACCCCGGAGCAAAAGGAAAAGATAAAAACGGACATCGGTGAAGAATAATTTACAGTTCTCGTTAAAGTACAAAGCAAGCAGCCCGTTTTGGGGCTGGGAAGTCAATGGACAGGCGAGTCTCGGCTTCAGCTCTGCTCCGTTGACTTCAGCGAGAAACGGTTTATCCTGGACCCTTTCCACGGAACGGAAAACGACACGAGGTGCGCCCACTTCTACGTGGTGTGGAGCACCCACCAAGTGTCCCCACCCACCCTTTTGTGCCTTGCTGTGGCGCCAATGGAAAAACGGGTGAGGCAGCGCACGCCTCCCCCTTGTTCGGAGTTGCATAGAAATTGGTGAGTGAGGGGACCGCCTTTCCCGGCCGGAGAGCCAGAGACGGGGCGGCGCAGACCCTTCCCCTTCCCATGCAAAGGGCCGGAAAAGAGGGAAAGAGGGGCCTCGCTTCACTAGAGCTGCTCCTTCCTTTCAAATAAGAATTATATAATATATATAAAACGGTCAAAGGAAAGCGTAAACATAATAAGTTAGAGAGGTTCTGGTAAGTGTTTGTGGTTTGTTGTTTTCGTACCGAGGCCCAACCAGGCTGTAGAATGGAGTGTTTTGTCTTTCTTTCGCGTCTTCTTCTCCGAACGGGGCTTCGGCCTACAGCTACACCCCCGGGTTAAATAATCAGTAGTATGAAGGGAGCGCCGCCGCTGCCCGGGCAGGGCCACTGACCTGTGGGAACGCCCCCACGTGCGCCCTGAGGTGGGCGGGCGGGTGGGTGGGTCTGTCTCCCCCCCATCTGGTATGCCTAGAGTCCTATGTACATCCTGGTCCGCTCCCCCGCCGCGCGGCGTCCCCTTCAGCAGGTCTCCTTCCCTTGGACCCCCGTCACCGTCTTGATCGAGCTCAGCGTCCGGTTGAACCACGTCTTCCGCGACGCCTGCACCTCGTTCAGGGCTTGACCCAAGTCGTGCTCCAGGTCCTGGAAGCGAGGGGAAGGCGGGGTTAGGTCAGCCGTATAGAACAACAACAACAACAACACTTTAATTATATTCCTCTCTCTCTCCCCCCAAGCAGATTACATCATACACTGACAGGCAGACACTCAATGCCTTTAATACAATGACACACAAATACATAGAACAAAGGCAAAGGCTTCCCCTTTCATCTCCGGCTTCTGGAGGCAGTGCTCAACTCTGACCAACAACAACAACACCTTATTTATATTCCTCTCTCTCTCCCCAAGCAGATTACAACATACACTGATAGGCAGACATTCAATGCCTTTAATACAGCGGAATAAGAGTGACACACAAATACACAAAACAAAGGCAAAGGCTTCCCCTTTCATTTCCGGTTTCTGGAGGCAGTGCTCAACTCTGGCCATATAGAACAACAACAATACATTATTTATATTCCTCTCTCTCTCTCTCTCTCTCTCTCTCTCTCTCCCCAAGCAAATTACAACATAGGTTCTTGTGGGGTACCTCACTACCTCTGAGGATGCTTGCCATAGATGCAGGCGAAACGTCAGGAGAAAATGCCTCTAGAACATGGCCATATAGCCCGAAAAAACCCACAAGAACCTATTGATTCCAGCCATGAAAGCCTTCAACAATACAAATTACAACATACACTGACAGGTAGACACTCAAAGCCTTTAATACAGTGGAATAAGAGTGACACACAAATATATAGAACAAAGGCAAAGGCTTCCCCTTTCATCTCCGGCTTCTGGAGGCAGTGCTCAACTCTGTCCATATAGAACAACAACAACAACACCACTTTATATTCCTCTCTCCCTCCCCGAGCAGATCACAACATACACTGTTAGGCAGATACTCAGTGCCTTTAATACAATGACACACAAATACATAGAACAAAGGCAAAGGCTTTCCCTTTCATCTCCGGCTTCTGGAGGCAGTGCTCAACTCTGGCCACATAGAACAACAACAACACTTTATTTATATTCCTCTCTCTCTCCCTGAGCAAATTGCAACATACACAGACAGGCAAACACTCAATGCCTTTAATACAGTGGAATAACAGTAACACAGAGATACACAAAACAAAGGCAAAGGCTTCTCCTTTCATCTCCAGCTTCTGGAGGTGGTGCTCAACTCTGGCCATATACAACAACAACAATACATTATTAATATTCCTCTCTCTCTCTCCCTGAGCAAATTGCAACATACACAGATAGGCAGACACTCAATGTCTTTAATACAGTGTAATAAGAGTGACACACAAATACATAGAACAAAGGCAAAGGCTTCCCCTTTCATCTCTGGCTTCTGGAGGCAGTGCTCAACTCCAGCCATGGGGAGGTGCTCTTGCTCCAATTCCAAGCCTGTTGTCCGTAGACATCTGGTTGTGTTGCTGGCATGTCTGCATGGGTATCTTTATACCTTCTCACCAAAGCAGTACCTGTTCATGTACTCACATATGTTTTTGAACTGCTAGGTTGGCAGGAGCTAGGGCTAACAGCAGGCGCTCTCCCCGGCCTGTGGTTTCAAACGGCCAAAATATATGCCCTGGCCCTGTTCCTCATCCTTGAGTCCCAGCTTAATGTCTTAAGCTCTCGCTCCCCTGGTTTGAATGATGGGAATCGACTGCCACACACAGGGCCACGTTTTGGGGCCAAGTGGGATGTCTATCTCACCTTGACGACACCACCGGAGACACCAGAAAAATCCCGACAACAGGCAGACAAATGACTTACATACGACTCCTAGTTAAGAACGATGGGGCTGAGGCAACAAGAAGTGAGAGTAAATCAACCCCTGGGAAGGGGGTCTCCACTGAGGATGGGTCACCCACTCTTGCTTCCACAACACGTCAAACATTTTCAATTGTCATCAGGACAGGAAGCAAGGTGAAATATTCTGAATGGGCTCAGACAGCAAAGGAAACATCACGGGGGTGTTCAACTTGCTTCCCTATACTATCCAGAGGTGTGTGCATGTATATGTGTGTGAATAGTTGCACTGTCCCAACTTCCATACAAATCCAACCTAAGAACAAGCCTATGGAACATAACCAAGGGACGACTGGCACCTTTCCAACACAACACATATGGGGGGGGGGGGGGAATGCCTTTCCAAAGCCAACACAAGCCAATGCCTCCTCTGTTGCTCCAGGAAAACGCACACAGAAAACAATTCAGACTGGGATGTCAGGGGGCCAAAAGCCCAGCGGTCAGATGTGCGGCCACTCGGGCACAGTCTTGCCTGTATCTTGCACTCGGCCTCCACCAGCTGCAGCTTGGTCTGGGCCAGCTCCAGCTCCATCTCCCTCAGCTGGCTCTTCAGGGCCTCCTTCTCCTCGTCCGTCTCCTCCTCCGACCCCTCGCGGGCCGCGCCCACCGCCTTCACGCGACCCTCCTTGTTGAAGAACTCACGGCAACGCTCACAGTCGTCCACTTTTTGCTGGAGGGAAGGAAGGACAAGCCCGTATTTTAAGCGAGCTGGACCCACCCACGCTTTGCTGCGGCCAATCTTCCCTCCCTCTTTCTCTCCTTTCTTTCTCTCCTTCAATCCCTCTTTCCTTCCTTCCTCCCCTTTTTTCTTTCCTTCTCTCCTTCCTTCCTTCCTTCCTTCCTTCCCTCCCTCCTTCCTTCACTTTTTTCTTTTCTTCCTTCCTTCCCTCCCTCCCCCTTCTCTCCTTCCTTCCTTCCTTCCTTCCTTCCTTCCTTCCTTCCTTCCTTCCTTCCTTCCTTCTTCCTTCCCTCTTCTCTCCTTCCTTCACTTTTTTCTTTCCTTCCTTCCTTCCTTCCTTCCTTCCTTCCTTCCTTCCTTCTTCCTTCACTTTTTCCTTCCTTCCTTCCTTTCTCCCTTCCCTCCCTCCCTTTCCTTCTCTCCTTCCTTCCTTCCTTTTTTCTTTCCTTCTCTCCTTCCTTCCCTCTTTTCTTCCTTCCTTCCTTCCTTCCTTCCCTCCCTCTCTCTTCTCTCCTTCCTTCCCTCCCTCTTCTTCCTTCCTTTTCATTCCTTTTCCTTCCTCTTCTCTCTTCCTTCCTCCTTCCTTCCTTCTTCCTTCTTCTCCTTCTTCCTTTTTCCTTCCTTCCTTTCTTCCCTTCCCTCCCTCCCTCTTTCCTTCTCTCCTTCCTTCCCTCTTTTCTTCCTTCCTTCCTTCCTCCCTCCCTCCCTCCCTCCCTTCCTTCTCTCCCTCCCTTCCTTCCTTCCTGTCTCTCCTGACTCTAGGGTTCTATGAAACATTCCGGATCCTGTCTGGTTCCAGCTCCAGACTCACCCGGATCTTCTCGATTTCGGCCTTGTTTGCCACCTGCTGCTTCTCCAGCCTCTCGCTCAGTTGGGAGCAGATCTATCAACAGAAACAATTATTATTATTATTATTATTATTATTAGGAAGGAACGTCAGCAAAGCCTTCTGCTTGGGCCTGTTTATAGCTCTGCTTTCCCGGTTACGACAACACCCAGCGTGCAATGAAACCACATCCCCGCGGAGAAGGGGCTCACCCTGCATCATCCTGAACCTGGCATCCTGGCCAGCTCTGCACCAATCATAATAGACGCCTGCCATATTGAGGTCTGGCTGAGCCATTGACGGCCCTGGCCAAGAGGGCTTCTTCTTCACGTGCAACCTATTCCTGCCTGAGTTCAGTTCCTATCCTGGAGTTTCTGCTGCTTACGACCATCGGCGCTAGTCCTTGAGATACAGAAAACCCTGACCACCCATCTACGAAACCAAAACCAACGCAGTCCATGATACATTGCAGAGTCCTGAACGGGCACCCCACTGGTCAAGCCCCGACTCCTCCCCCCCCCCCCCAAGGACCCACCTGCTTGTAGTCCCCAATGATGGAGCTGTTCTTCTTGATCTCGGACTCGGTTTTGTCCAGCTCCCGGCGACACATCTCCTTCAGCTGGACAAGGGAAAGGGAGGAAGAGGAGAGAGGTTGGCCGGTGAGAGGGTGCTTTGATGGTGCTCTTCCTCCGTTGTGCATACAATTCAAACACTCTCCCTGCCTTGTGACACATTTATCCACTTGGGCAACAGGTAGGACTGCGCCTGAGTTCACAGGCCTTTCCCAGAAGCCTCCCTTGACTTGGGACCATTGGCTTTCCATCAGACATGGGAGTGAAGGGAGAATAGGACACAATGCAGCAACACCTTCAAATTGCCGGGGTTCCGACTCCACCTAAGCTTCCTGATGGTAAGAGCATTCAGTGGTAAAATATGCTCCTTGGATTCCACTGGAGTCCCCTTCTCTGGGTCTTTATTTTTTTTAAGCAGAGGCTGGCTGGCCATCTGTTGGGGTTGCTTTGATTGCATTTTCCCTTCATTGGGCATCCAACTCAAGAACTCTATCCCTGCCTTGTGACACATCTATCCTCTTGGGCAACAGGTAGGACTGTGGTTTTTTTTTAAGCAGAGGCTGAATGGCCATCTGTTGGGAGGGCTTTGGCTGTGCTTTCAGTTAGACTGGATGGGAGTCCCTCCGAACCCTAGGATGCTATGAGTCCATGCATCGGGACTGTGGCGCAACTGGCTGGGAGTCAGCTGCATTAAGATCACTACTGAGTTCGAAGCCACCCTGGGTCGGAGTGAGCTTCCAACCAAAATTGTGTAGTTTGTTGTCGACCTTTGCAGCCGAAAGACAGTTGCATCTGTCAAGTAGGAAATTTAGGTACCACTTACGTGGGGAGGCTAATTTAACTGATTTACGAGGCCATAAAAATCTCCAGGAAGTATGCAAAGAATGAGGAAGTACTTCATCAGTGTCACAAAGGGATTTTGAAGCGATAACTCCCGGGTCGGAGTGAGCTTCCAACCAAAATAGTGTCGTTTGTTGTCGACCTTTGCAGCCGAAAGACAGTTGCATCTGTCAAGTAGGAAATGTAGGTACCACTTACGTGGGGAGGCTAATTTAACTGATTTACGAGGCCATAAAAATCTCTAGGAAGTATGCAAAGAATGAGGAAGTACTTCATCAGTGTCACAAACGGATGTTGAAGCGATAACCTCCAGGTGGCCAGAAGCTGGAATGTTAAATAGCCTCTGTGTGTCTGTCTATATATGTTTGTGTCTGTGGCCTTGAATGTTAGCCATGTCTATGTGCATTGTAATCCGCCCTGAGTCCTCTGCGGGATGAGGAGAAGGGCAGGATAGAAATACTGTAAATAAATAATAAAAAATAACAATAATAGAGCAATGTGGACGGACGGACGGACCTTGGCCGACTCCTCCTCCAGGCGCCTCTTTTCATCCTCGGCGTCGATCAGCTTCTGCTTGGTCATCAGCAGCTCCTTGTTGAGAGCGTCGGCCTTCTCCTCCGCCTGGAAACACACAAGCGGGGCTGCTCAGAGGCTAGAAGGGGGGTGGGCTACGAGACATTCCTTCCGGGTTGGGGGGAGCTCCCTAAGTGCAGTCACTCAACGACGTAGAAAGGAAAGCAAAGCAGGCCCTGCTTTGTAGCTTCTTGACATATATATTTAAAGGAGCCTCGGTAGTGCAGCAGGTTAAACTGCTGAGCTGCTGAACTTGCTGACCAAAAGGTTGCCGTTTCAAATCTGGGGAGTGGGGTGAGCTCCCGCTGTTAGCCCTAGCTCCTGTCAACCTAGCAGTTCGGAAACATGCAAATGTGAGTAGATCAATAGGTGCCGCTCTGGCAGGAAGATAACTTTAATCAGTTTTGTTTTATTTTATCAAATGTTATTTATGCTAAATGTTTTGATGGTTCTTTGTTATTGTAGGCCATCGAATTGTGCCACTTGTAAACCTCCCTCAGTTGCCTTCGGGCTGAGAAAGGCAGTATATAAATATGGTGAATAAATAAATAATGTCGCTCCATGCGGTCCTGCCAGTGGCCACGTGGCCTTGGGGGCGTCTACGGACAACGCCGGCTCTTTGGCTTAGAAAAGGAGATGAGCGCTGGAGTCCCAGAGTCTGGCACAATTGGACTTAATGTCAGGGGAAAACCCTGACCTTTACCGTATTTATTTCAAAGCCAGTTTCAATACTACAAACTACCAATGGCCAGAATTTCAGAGTGGGCCTAGACAACGAGGAGAGGGCCAGGCCAGTGCAATGAAGTAAAAGGGAAGCAGGTAAAGTGCGTGGTAGACCGGGCTGTGGCGCAGTTAGTTAGTAGCCAGCTGCATTAAATCACTACTGACCAAGAGGTCGTGAGTTTGAAGCCACCCCGGGTTGGAGTGTTGACTGTTTAGGTCAACAGCATGCTAGACTATTAATGGTCAGGAGACCATTAATAGTCTAGCATGCTGTTGACCTAAACAGTCCAAAAGACGGTTGCACCAGGTACCGCTTTATGCGGAGAGGCTAATTTAACTAACTTCCAGCAGCATGTGAAAGAATGAGGAAGTACTCCATCGAGGACTCAGTGTCACAAGTTGGTGGTGAAGTGGCAGCTCCCCCGGTGGCCGGAATCGAGCCTACCTTCACGAAGCCAGAAAGCTGGAATGTTAAATTGCCTCTGTGTCTGTCTATATATGTGGTATGTCTAATTGGCATTGAATGTTTGCCATGTATATATGTGCATTGTGATCCGTCCTGAGTCCCCTGCGGGGTGAGGAGAAGGGCGGAATATCAATACTGTCAATAAAACAAACAAACAAACAAACAAACAAATAGTAGGATTCTAACTAATGGCTACGGGAGGGCCTGGGGCTCATCATTTTCAAAGGCCTGCTGGAACCACCAGGTTTTCAGGTCCCTGCAGAAGGAGGATAGTCTTATCCTTATCTCTGGAGGGCGTTCCAAAGGCGAGGGGCCACCACCAAGAAGGCCCTCTTTCTCCCTCGTCCGCACCAACTGTGCTGGGGACCATGGTGGGGACGAGAAGACAGCCTCTTCAGAAGATCTTACAAGATCACACAGGTTCGTAAGGGAAGATGCAGTCACAAAGATAGGCAGGGCCCGAAACACGTAAGTGGCTGGGGGGGGGGGGGGGGGAGGGGGGAGGCTGTTGGGAATGGTGGGAGTTGGAGTCCAAACCCCTGGAGGGAGGGAGGGAGGGAGGGAGGGCCAAAGAGGCCAAGGGAGGCCGGGCTGCTCTTACGTTGTCCAGGTCCTTCCGGAGGGCGATCTTGCTGGTCACCAGCTCGTGGGCCAAGTCATCGTTCTCCTGCTCCAGCCGCATGTTGGCCTCCTGCAGCCGCCGGTTCTCCCGCTGAGGAAAGAGAAAGGACGGGAATCCCGTCGGAATCACTCCCCATCCCCTGCCAGCAAAGCCAAGACTGCCACACTGGCGTGTCCTCCGTTTTCCTCACAGATCCTAACACATCTGGTTGTATACAATATGAGAAGATTCTACTTCTCCGAAAGGTCACGCTTTTCCGAAAGGTTATGAGCTTTGTTTTCCCCGAAAGGTTATGATCTCGAAAAGGCATTTTCCAAAAGGAAAAAGGCCGGGAACAATGGAGGCGGCCATCTCCAGCCTTCGGAGGGTCCCAGGTGGCTGTCGTTAGAAACAAGCAAGCAAAAATACAGGCCTCGCTTGACTCCCAAGGAAAGCGGATCCTACCTCGAACCTTTCGATGGGATCCTCCTGCTGCGCTTGCTGCTCCCTCATGGTGTGGTATTCTCGCTCGTACTTCTTCAGCTTCTTTTGGCTAATCTGCGCAGCAGGGGGAAAAGAAGAAAATGTCAACAGGCAGGGAGAGGGGGGGACACCTCACTGGTGTCCGTCACCATCAAAATGTCCTTGAGTCAACAGGCTTGGCCTGATCTTACAAGCTAAGCAGGGTCAGCCCTGGTTAATACTCGGATGGAAGACAGCTAACCAAATAATAATAATAATAATAATAATAATAATAATAATGTAATAATAATAATAGCTACATTGCCGCTTTGAGTCTCCTTTGGGAAAGATAAAACAAGGTATAAATATAATAAATAATAATAATAGCTACATTGCCGCTTTGAGTCTCCTTCAGGAGAGATAAAGCAAGGTATAATTAAAACAATAATATAATAATAATAGCTACATCGCCGCTTTGAGTTTCCTTCAAGAGAGATAAAGCAAGATATACATATTATAATAATAATAATAATAATAATAATAATAATAATAATAATAGCTATATCGCTGCTTCAAGTCTCCTTCGGGAGAAATAAAGCATGTTATAAATATAATAATGTAATAATAATAATAATAATGTAATAATAATAATAGCTACATCGCCACTTTGAGTCTCCTTCGGGAGAGATAAAGCAAGATATACATATAATAATAATAATAATAATAATAATAATAATAATAATAATAATAGCTATATCGCTGCTTTGAGTCTCCTTCGGGAGAGATAAAGCATGTTATAAATATAATAATGTAATAATAATAATAATATAATAATAATAATAGCTACATCGCCACTTTGAGTCTCCTTCGGGAGAGATAAAGCAAGGTATACATATAATAATTATAATATAATAATTATAATAATAACAATAATAATAGCTACATTGCCACTTTGAGTGTACTTTGGGAGATATAAAGCAAGGGATAAATATAATAATAATAATAATAATAATAATAATAATAATAATAATAATATAATAATAATAGCTACATCGCCACTTTGAGTCTCCTTCGGGAGAGATAAAGCAAGGTATACATATAAATATAAATATAATAATAATAACAGATGCAAATGGAAGGGAAAGAGATGCCACTTAAAAATGAGGAAGAACTTTTGGACAGGAAGTGCTGCTGGAATGCACTGGGAGTCTCCCTCTCTGGAGGTTTGTAAGCAGAGGCTGGATGGCCATCTGTCTGGAGTGTTTTGATTGTGTCTTCCTGCCTGGCAGAAAGAAGGGGGTTGTCTGGATGGCCCTTGAGGTGCCCTCCATCTCTGTGATGCTAGGATGACCTTTCTGAGCTGTGCAGCTTTTGCAGCAGATTCAAACACTGCCCTCTGGCTCCATCTGGTGGCGCGTATGGGGAAATGCCGCCAGGGTGACCACAGGGAAAAAGAGAGCAAAAGTGGGACCAGATCAAGGAAAATCAAGGTGTTTGCCATGTGTGAAAGGCCTGTGCCTGGTGGAAGGAGTCAGGGATACCTTCCCGAGCTCTCACTCTCTCAGCCTCAGAGGAAGGCAAAGCCCCTTGGAGCAAAGCTTGCAACGAAAACACAGACATGGCACCAAGACATACAGAGTGGATGAAGAGTCCATCTGCACCAAAGAATATCAACATGACCAGCAAAAGACATTGGGGACAGTTCTATCTTGTCTCCGGTGCTATGCTAATAATCTAATCTAATCTAATATATTGTATATACATATAATATTTATATTTTTATAATGGAATACAATATAATAATAACTAGCTTTACCCGCCACGCGTTGCTGTGGCCAACCTTCTCTCCCTCTTTCTCTCCTTCTTTCAGTCCTTCCTTCATTTCCTTTTCTTCTTTCCTTTCTTCCTTCTCTACCTGTTTACTTCCTTCCTTAGCTTTTTGCTCCCATCCTTCCTTCTCTTTATTTCTTTCCTTCCCTCCCTCTTTCTCTCCTTCTTTCTCTTCTTCCTTTGCTCCGTCTTTCCTCCCTTTTTTCTTTCCTTCTCTCCTCCTTCCTTCTCTTCCTCTTTCCTTCCTCCTCCCTTTTTATTTTCCTTCCTCTTTCTCTCCTTTCTTCCCTCTCTATCTCTTTCCTTCCTTCCTTCGCTCTTGACTTCCAGACTTCCTTTTCTTTCTTTCTTTCTTTCTTTCTTTCTTTCTTTCTTTTCTTCCCTCCTTTTCTCTTCTTCCTTCGCTTTTTTCCTCTCTTCCCCTTCCCAAATTCCTTTCTTTCTTCCTTCCTTCCGTTTGACACCTTCCCTTCCCCTTCCCTTTCTTCTTTTTTCTGTCTTTCTTTCCTTTCCTCCTTCCTTCCTTTCTCCCTTCTTTCCCATCCTCCTTCTCTCTCTGTATTCTTTCTTTCCTACCTTTCTTCTTTCATATACCTTCTCAACTTCCCTCCCTCCCTTCCTTCCTTCCTTTCCTTCCTTCCTTTCTCCGTTCGCGCAGCATCCTGGCCCCCAGCGAGCAGGCCGCGTTCTAGAACTACAGTTCCCAGAGTGCATTGCGTGTGTACTTCCTCCCCTGGGCACTGCGCATGCTCAGTTGGTTTTTGTAATTGTGAGTTTGTTGAAATGTTGTTTGGAATTTTGATGAGTGTTGTGCATACCTTGTGGGTTGAGGTATGTGCACGGCAAATTTGGTGAGTTTTCGTCGGGGGGTTTTCGCGTTTTGCTGTCCCATTGAACACCCTTTCCTTTTATATATATATATATATATATATATATATGTGTGTGTGTGTGTGTGTGTGTGTGTGTGTGTGTGTGTGTGTGATATTTATATATTTTATACTACATGTAATATTACTAATAATATTACAATATGATGGAATGTACAATATAATAATATATAATACTGATATTGTACTATGCTAATAATATAATATATTGTATGTATATATCTTGTAAGCTGCTCTGAGTCCCCTTTGGGCTAGAAGAGTGGCATATAAATGTCATAAATAAATGAATAAATAAATAAATATCATGGCTGGTTTCATGCATTTGTGGCCAATGTAGGAGTTTAGGGGGTGCCTCCCCGCGCAGGCAGGAGGGGGCTGGACTGGATGACCCCTGGGGCCCCTCTTTGTACCTTCATGCTGCAGGCCAGCTCCATCAGCTTCTTGGCGTTCTCCTCGGAGCGGTACCGCTTGGGCAGCTGCACCCGGAAGAACTTGAGGGCCCCCTCGAAGTCCGTCAGCAGCAGGTCGTCCTTGGTCGTCTGCATTGGGGGGAATCAAGACGCTTTGCAAGGAGGGAAAAGCAGGAAGGGACCCTCCCCCCCAAAACCCCACCAAAGCCCCCTCAAGATGGGTTGCAATGCAATCGTTTACACCCCAGAGCAAAAGAAGACCCCCTAAAATCAAACTGGCCTTGATGGGAAGTCACAGGGGAAACGTGGGGCGGAAAAGGACCCCCCCCCCCATGCGGGTGACCCACCCTACTTTACCCAAAGGAGCACAAAAAGTGGAGGACTTACTTTTAACAATCCGAGCGCGACGTTGAATATGACACTGATGCCCTGCGTGGAAGAGGGAACAGGGAAGGAGACAAAAGCCAAAACCAACAATGAGGATCTAATTGTTGTCGAAGGCTTTCATGGCTGGAATCACTGGGTTGCTGTGAATTTTTAGGACTGTCTGGATATGTTCCAGTGGCATTCTCGCCTGACGTTTCGCCTGCATCTGTTTCAAATGGCGCCTTCAGAAGTCTGTTACAAGTGAGGCAAGTGGGGTGCCTATATATCCCTGTGGAATAATGTCCAGGGTGGGAGAAAGGACCTTTGTCTGTTTGAGGCAAGTGTGAATTAGCATTGAATAGCCTTGCAGCTTCAAAACCTGGCTGCTTCCTGCCTGGGGGAATCCCTTGTTAGGAGGTGTTGGCTGGCAGGAACCAGCCAGGCTTTGAAGCTGCAAGGCTATTCAATGCTACTCAAGTTGGCCAATGGCAACATTCACACTTGTCTCAAACAGACAAGGGTCCTTTCTCCACACTGGACATCAGTCCGCAGGGAGATAGACAGATAGACAGACAGACAGACAGACAGACAGACAGACAGATAGATAGATATAAACCTCACTTACCTGGTTTCCAAAAGACCTCACAACCTCTGAGGATGCCAGCAGCCACAGATGCAGGCGAAATGTCAGGAGAGGATGTTGTCCAGACAGCCCAGGAAACTCACAGCAACCCATTTGAGCTGAGCTGTGTGTGTATGTATATATGTGTGTGTATGTGTCTGTATGTGTGTGTGTGTGTGTGTGTGTGTGTGTGTGTATATATACACACACATACACACACACACATACACACACTCCACTTGCCTCATTGCAAACAGACCTCTAAGGATACCATTAGCCACAGATGCAGGCGAAACGTCAGGAGAGGATGCTGCTGGAACGTGGCCAGACAGCCCAGAAAACTCACAGCAACCCATTTGAGCTGAGCTGTGTGTATATGTATGTGTGTGTATAGACACACACACACACACCTGACTTGCCTCATTACAGACAGCACAGAAAACTCACAGCAACCCAACTGAGCTGTGTGTGTATGTATGTGTGTGTATACACACACAGACACCTGACTTGCCTCATTACAGACAGCCCAGAAAACTCGCAGCAACCCATTTGAGCTGAGCTGTGTGTATATGTATGTGTGTATGTGTGTGTATACATACATACACGCCTCATTGCAATCAGCCTTCTGAGGATGCCATTAGCCAAAGATGCAGGAAATGTCAGGAGAGGATGCTGCTAGAACATGGCCAGACAGCCCAGAAAACTCACAGCAACCCAGCTGAGCTGTGTATGTATGTGTGTGTATATATATACACAGACACACCTGACTTGCCTCATTACAGACAACCCAGAAAATCCACAGCAACCCAGCTGAGCTGTGTATGTATGTATGTGTGTGTATAGACACACACACACCTGACTTGCCTCATTACAGCCAGCCCAGAAAACTCACAGCAAGCCAGTTGAGTTGTGCATGTATGTGTGTGTATATATACATACACACACACACCTGAATTGCCTCATTACAGACAGCCCAGAAAACACACAGCAACCCAGTTGAGTTGTGCATGTATGTGTGTGTATATATACATACACACACACACACACACACCTGAATTGCCTCATTACAGACAACCCAGAAAATTCACAGAAACCCACCTGAGCTGAGCTGTGTGTGTATGTATGTATGTAAGTGTGTGTATACACACACCACTTGCCTCATTGCAAACAGCCCATAAAACTCACAACAACTCATTATTATTATTATTATTATTATTATTATTATTATTATCATCTAAGCAGGCAACAACTGCAAAGCACATTCGGCAACCAACGTTTTGTTTGGTTTCAGCTTTGAAAACCGAGGTGTGCATGAGATCCGATGGCACACGAGACTTGAGTCAATACAGGTCCCCTTTCTCTCAAACCGCTCATTTGGCCCAGACCCAGAGCAAAAGCTCAGTCTGAACTCTGGGCCGCAGGTTGGGTTTCCTGGCCCCGAGAAAGCAACGAGGCGATGTGTGGCCGACCCCAGCCAGAAACCACAAGGTTTGTGACGTTTGTGGGCTCCCTCGCAACCCAAACTCCCGCGGGAGTGCCGCCCTACCTGGGGAAGGAGAGCGGGAAGCGCCGCTGAGAATTAATGGATGCCGCTAATTAGCCAGTGAGTAAACAAATGATTAAAGCAGCCTCCCAGGGTGCCGGGCTCCTGCGCGCTTTGTTCTTTTGCAGGCGCGATTCGGGCCACATGCTCCGAGAGAGAAACCTCCCGCTAACTCCCAAGTCTGGTAAAGACTTCGCTCCATCGCAAAAGGAAGAAAGACAAGCCGATGGGCAGAATTGTATTGGCTTTTTAAGCTGCTGCATCACAGGGTTGGCTCCTGTTCAGCTTTTAAACCAGGCACGGGCAAATTTCAGTCCTCTGGGTGGTTTGGACTCCAACTCCCACCATTCCTAACAGCCTCAGGCCCCTTCCTTTTCCCCATCAGTCTGAGAGAGCCCTCATTGTGAGGTAGGCCTCAGTGGGAGAGAGGCTTCAGTGGGAGAAATGCCTCAGTGTGAAAAGGAAAGGGCCTGAGGCTGTTAGGAATGGTGGGAGTTGGAGTCCAAAATGCCGTAAAGCTCTATACCACTCAGTATTGTTGTTGTTCGTCTGCATATAGCTTAGTAGCCCTCAGACTGAGAGAACGCCTCAGTGAGTGAAGCATCAGTTTGAGAGAGCCCTCATTGTGAGGTAGGCCTCAGTGGGAGAAATGCCTCAGTGTGAAAAGGAAAGGGCCTAAGGCTGTTGGGAATGGTGGGAGTTGGGAGTCCAAAATGCCGTAAAGCTCTGTACCACTCAGTATTGTTGTTGTTCACCTGCATGTAGATTAGTAGCCCTCAGACTGAGAGAAACGCCTCAGTGAGTGAGGCATCAGTTTGAGAGAGCCCTCAAAGAGAGGTAGGCCTCAGTGGGAGAGAGGCTTCACTGTGAAAAGGAAAGGGCCTGAGGCCGTTAGGAATGGTGGGAGTTGGAGTCCAAAATGCCATAAAGCTCTATACCGCTCAGTATTGTTGTTGTTCGTCTGCATATAGCTTAGTAGCCCTCAGACTGAGAGAAACGCCTCAGTGAGTGAGGCATCAGTTTGAGAGAGCCCTCATTGAGAGGTAGGCCTCAGTGGGAGAAATGCCTCAGTGTGAAAATGAAGGGGCCCGAGGCCATTAGGAATGGTGGTAGTTGGAGTCCAAAATGCCATAAAGCTCTATACCACTCAGTATTGTTGTTGTTCGCCTGCATGTAGCTTAGTAGCCCTCAGATTGAGAGAAACGCCTCAGTAAGTGAGGCATCAGTTTGAGAGAGCCCTAATTGTGAGGTAGGCCTCAGTGGGAGAAATGCCTCAGTGTGAAAAGGAAAGGACCTGAGGCTGTTAGGAATGGTGGGAGTTGGAGTCCAAAGCACCCAGAGGGAAGGCCCAAGCCTATTCTAGACCAGCACGGCCCCCAACAATATTGTAAACACCAAGCCTATACCCAGGGACTGATGCCCAAAGCCCTTCCGGTGGCTGCTGAATCATTTCCTTCCTGAGAGGCCAAACGAGAGGCCATGACTGGACGTCCAGGCCGAAGGGACACACAACAAGTGGTTTCTGAGAACCGGGAGATTAACATCTCACGTGGAAAATGAAATGGAACGGACATTGGAAAATGCTCGGAAGTTGCAACACCGTTCATACAAAACTCTGCAGGGCGCAGGAGGGAAACCCGTGGGCACAAACCGGACCGGAAAATGGAAACGGATGCCCTCCGGCTTTGAATGCAGAATACAATTGGAAACTAGGATGGCGCCCCGCGCTTACCTCGCACAGCAACAAGTCGATGATGTGGAAGACCATGTAGAGCGGGAATTTGGCGGTGAAGAGGGTGAGGAACCACTGCGAGGCATACATGTGGGCTTCAAGGCTGATGTCCAGGAAGTGGTTGTAGAGGTCGGGAATATACTCCTGGAGGAAGGAAGGAAGGAAGGAAGGAAGGAAGGAAGGAAGGAAGGAAGGAAGGAAGGAAGGAAGGAAAGGGAAGGAAGGAAGGAAAGGGAAGGCAGGGAGGAAAGGGAAGGCAGGGAGGGAAAGACGGAAAAGAAAGACAGAAAGGAAGGAAGGGAATGAAAGAAGGGAGGGAGGAAGGACGGATGGATGGATGGACGAAAAGGGAGGGGAGGGAAGGATGGATGGATGAAAAGGAAGGAAAGAAGGAAGGGAAAGGGAAGGGAGAGAAAGACAAAAAGGACAGAAAGAAAGAGAAACAAAGAATGACAGGAAGGAAGGAAAGAAAAGGAGGGACGGTAGGACAAAGGAAGGAAGGAGGGAAAGAATGAATGAAGGATGGATGAAAAGGAAAGAAGGAAGTATGAAAAGAAGGAAGGGGAAGGGAAGGAATGGAGGGGAGGGGAGGAAGGATGGAAGGACAGGAAGGAAGGGAAAGGAAAGGGAAAGAGTGAAGGATGGGAAGGAAGGAAAGAATGAAGGAAGGACGGATAGATGAAAAGGAAGGAAGCAAAGTTCTGTTGCAAAGCTCAAACCACTGTATCATATCATTTTTTTCAATCTTTGCTAACTGGAAAGGCTTTTTCAGAAAATTAGAAAACATGTTAATCCTGAAACAAATAATCGAGGAGAAAGTAATGAATTGAATGCAGTTTTTATTACTTATCTTTCAAGCAAATATGGCTCTGTGCAGAAGATGTAATTAAGGAAAGGAAGGAAGGAAGGAAGGAAGGAAGGAAGGAAGGAAGGAAGGAAGTATGGGAAAAAAAAGGAAGGAAGGAAGGAAAACCATTGAACCCAGAGCTTAAACATCCTCCCGTCTTGGTGTGTGGGGCCAAAGGCATGACCACGGACTCTGCCATGTGCCTTTCAGGCTGTTTCCAGTTTATGGCAACCCCAAGGCGAAACTTCCATTAGGGCTTTTCTTGGCAAGATTCATTCAGAGAGGGTTTGCCACTGCCTTCCTCTGAGGCTGAGAGAGTGTGACTTGACCAAGGTGGATCTCCCTGACTAGGCATGGAATCGAATCCAGTGCAACGCCCAAACATCGCACGGGTTGTCACTGGCCCCATCCCTGGTCAACACACATTTTGGTGCCTCAAAGGTTAATTCTTGTTCTATAAGTTGCTACTTTTTCTTTTTTGTTTTATTTTGTGTCTTGGTTTTTTTAAAAATGTAAACTTCAATAAAGATTATTATTTTTTAAAAGGTTAATTCTTTTCCTGAGTGTATCTGATTCAAAGTAACGGCCCCGGTTTCTCCCTCTTGGCTCATGTTTTGGAGACACGGAACACCTACTAGTTGCCCACAGAAAAGCGTGATATAACCCTTGAGCCACAGTCTTCCAAAGGCCGGCAAAACAAAGAAAGAAAGCCAAGCCTTTGGAAAGACTGCCAAGAGGGAAGGAATGCTATCCTGTTCGACCGTAAGAGTCTTCCCAAGGAAAGGTTTTTGACACTTCCGAATGGAGGGCACCCTCTTGGTTTCCCAGGCGGAGGTCCTCGCAAGGTAGAGATTCCGGGCGGAGAGCGAGGGCTTTGCAGAAGGAAGACAGTGGAGCATTCCTTACCTGCATGAGGCGCTCCAGCTGGTAAAACTTGCAGTGTAAGTCTTCAAAGTTTTGTTTGAAAAGCTCCCTGAGCCCGTAGTCAAACATGATCTTGACCAGAACGCTGAAGGCCTGCTCCTCAGGCATCTGGCGGAAGAAGGCAGGGAGGAAAACCGATTGTGGGCCTCGGTTTAAGGAAGGAATCGCCACAACTAAACATCCCTTGGCGGTGTTTCCCTTCCTTCCTTCCCCAGGTAAGACCTCGGTTGCCTGAAACAACCCTATGCGTGGAACGTTCCTTGTTTTGAGTGCCCGCTCCCCAAAAGAAGACACACATCAACTGCCTATACGTCTTCCGGATGCGTAACTTTGCCTAACGTTAAGGCAGAGCACTTCAATACCCACCATCCCCTTAACATGGATCTCCCCTCAAGGATGTTTTTGGAGGACCTGGACATCTCCAGACAACCTTTCCTGGCCCCAAACCAAGTGCAACCATGTGCCCTTTTTTTGACGCAGATCTCCCCATCCTGATACCACTCATTTTGGAGAACCAGGTGTAATAGGTTGGCCAGGTATTACTGGGAACGCTGCCTGCCTGCTTCCCCCCTTCTCCAGCTCTGAGAATGTCTCTCTGGCAACGACGCGCAGTCTCTCTTTGCGGCCCTTCTTTTCTTTCCTCCCTTTCTCTCGCACACCTTCTCCTTTTTTTCTTTTCCTTTGCTTTCCTGCACACACCTTTCCCTCCCTTTGTGACGTCACTTTGGGAAGAGCAGTAGAAGAAAACGGGGAAAGTAGGGCTTGCCAGGTCTTATTTTCTTGGTTTTAGCTCAACCTGAGGTCGAAAAGGAGCCCTTTCCTTCTTCGTCTTTGTATATTGTATATACATATAATTGTTGTAGTTCAGAGTGAGAGTAAGGTTACTACTACTGGTAGAAGGGAGAAGAGGGTTTGTGCTAGAGGCACTGAGTTAAGTGTCTCTAAGCCTTTTTTGTATTTAATAAACCTTTGTTTGGACATTTTATATTGTGTTTGGCATTCTTGAGGCTTCTGGGTCTTGAGAATAATATTCATAATATTATAATGTAATACAATATACTACTACTACTACTACTACTACTACTAATAATAATAATAATAATAATAATATGAAATAATTATTATATATATTTATATTACATGTAATCTATATAAATAAAAATGTTATGTTCGGTTGTGGGATTCACAGAACTCAAAAACCACTGGGCGAATGGACACTAAATTTGGACACAAGACACCTCTCAGGCCAATGAGTGACCATCACTCATAAAAACACTGAAAAACACAACAGAAGAGACTAAAAAAAACAAAGAAATACATTGCAACGCATGTGTAAAACCATATATATATATATATATATATATATATATACACATATATATATGTGTGTGTGTATATATAATGTGTGTAATACGCACACATGCAAACACACATATATACACATATACACATATATATGTACACATATATACACATATATACACACACAAAACACATATACACAAAGTGGGCCACAGCAACACGTGGCAGGGGACGGCTAGTATTACTAATAATATTACAATATAATGGTATAATACAATATAGTAATATATGATACTGATATTGTACTATGGTAATATAATATATTGTGTGTGTGTGTGTGTCAATCTATCTATCTATCTATCTATCTATCTATCTATCTATCTATCTATCTATCTTGTAAGCCACCCTTCGGGGTGAGAAGGGTGGCATATATATAGGCATATATGAGGGAGAGAGTGAGAAAGAGAGCTTGTTCCTCCTTTCCAGGACTTCTGCATAAACTTACTTCTACCTTAAGGATGTTTTGGACCTGAGTTACAACATAAACAATATGTAATACCTTTCCCATATGGGGCCAGTATGGTCTCTTTCACTGAATGTGGAAATGATAGCATCCTAGGGTTAGAAGGGACCCCAAGGGCCATCTTTGGCCCCGCTTTTCCTCTCTGTTAATCCTCTCTGCTGTTTGTACTACGAGGATTCAAGACCTTCACGTTCTTCTAGGACAGCGGTTCTCAACCTGGGGGTCGGGACCCCTGGAGGGGTCGTGAGGGGTGTCAGAGGGGTCACCAAAGACCATCAGAAAACACAATATTTTCTGTTGGTCATGGGGGTTCTGTGTGGGAAGTTTGGCCCAATTCTATCGTTGGTGGGGTTCAGAAGGCTCTTTGATCGTAAGTTAACTATAAATCCCAGCAACTACAACTCCCAAATGTCAAGGTCTATTTTCCCCAAACTCCACCAGTGTTCACATTTGGGCATATTGAGTATTCATGCCAAGTTTGGTCCAGATCCATCATTGTTTTGAGTCCACAGTGCTCTCTGGATGTAGGTGAACTACAACTCCCAAACTCAAGGTCAATGCCCACCAAACCCTTCCAGTATTTTCTGTTGGGTCATGGGAGTTCTGTGTGCCAAGTTTGGTTCAATTGCCTAATTGGCCTAATTCTATTGTTGGTGGGGTTCAGAATGCTCTTTGATTGTAGGTGTTCTATAAATCCTAGCAACTACAACTCCCAAATGTCAAGGTCCATTTGCCCAAACTCCACCAGTGTTCCCATTTGGGTATAAATAATAATAATAAATAATAATATGGAGTATTTGTGCCAAGTTTGGTCCAGATCTATCATTGTTTGAGTCCACAGTGCTCCCTGGATGTAGGTGAACTACAACTCCCAAACTCAAGGTCAATGCCCACCAAACCCCTCCAGTATTTTCTGTTGGGTCATGGGAGTTCTGTGTGCCAAGTTTGGTTCAATTGCATCGTTGGTGGGACTCAGAATGCTCTTTGATCATAGGTGAACTATAAATCCCTGCAACTACAACTCCCAAATGGCAAAATAAATCCCCCCCAATCCCCCAGTATTCAAATTTGGGCGTATCAGGTATTAGGTATTTGTGCCAAGTTTGGTCCAGTGAATGGAAATACATCCTGCATATCCGATATTTACATTGCGCTTCATAACAGTAGGAAAATTACAGTTGTGAAGTAGCAACGAAAATAATGTTATGATTGGGGGTCACCACAACATGAGGAACTATACTAAGGGGTCGCGACATTAGGACGGTTGAGAACTCCTGTTCTAGGGACTCTTGGTTTCAAAAGCCCTCATTTCCCAATGGGAAAGGCATCCCTTCCTCCCGAAACTCACGTGGAGAAGCAGCACAGCGGCCAGGAAGGACTGGCCCTGGCAGTAGCCGATCTCTTCGTCGTAGACGGAATAGGCCTGCGGAGAGAGGAAGGAACGGTCAAGAAGCCCCCCAAACAGACCCCTCGCTTAGCCAAACGCCGTCCCAGAGACCCCCCTCAGATGCCTCAAGGAGGTGGGCCCGGCCTCAAGCCATTCGGGGAGGCAGGTCAACAACAACAACAGCATAGAATCCTAGAGTTGGAAGAGACCTCGTGGGCCATCTAGTCCAACCCTATTCTGCCAAGAAGCAGGACAATCGTCTTCCAAGTATTTTAATATGTAGCTTTTATAGGAATGCGTTTTAATATGTGTTATCTGTAGTGTTTTTGCAATGTTTATGTGTTTCAATTATTCTGTGACCCGCCTCGAGCCACAAAAAGAGGCGAGCAAGAAATAATTAAGAAATATTTTTAAAATATTTATTATTATTTGAATCACAACAAGATGAGTCCACAGCAGACAAGATCACTCTGCTGGCTGTTGCATTGGATCACACGTTGAACACTTCCCGAGTGTCTAGAACTGTGTGATGTATCGGCAAATGATGTGTGCAGATCCCAATGGGGTAGCCTTTTGCAGCTGGGAGGTGGTAATTTTGTCAGCACCAATTGTGTTTAAGTGCAGGCCAAGGTCTTTAGGCACTGTACCCAGTGTGCCAATCATCACTAGGACCACTTTTAGTGGTTTGTGCCAGAGTCTTTGCAATTATTATTATTATTATTATTATTATTATTATTATTATTATTTTATTATTTGAAACAAAACAATAATAAATTATTATTAATAATAATACATTTTAAAATATTTCTTAATTATTTCTTACTTGCCTCTCTTTATGGCTCGAGGCAGGTTACAGAGTAATTAAAACACATAAACATTGCAAAATAATTAGTATTAGTATTATTATTTAGTCCAACCCCCTGCCCTGCACATCCTCAAAGGTTGGTTCAGAGGTCTGTTGGAAATGAGGCAAGTGGAGTGAATATATGTGTGTGTGTGTGTGTATCTATATCTATCTATTTATCTGTGGATATATATATATATACCCCACAGATCCACAGATATGTGTGTGTGTGTGTGTGTATACAGTCCAAAACAGACACACACACACAAAAACAGTCCACCATATGTGTGTGTGTGTGTGTGTATCTGTGGGGTGTATATATATCCACAGAAATGAGACAAGTGGAGTGAATACGTATGTGTGTGTGTGTATTTATTTGTGGATATATATACACCCCACAGATCCACAGATGTGTGTGTATACAGTAATATATATATATATATATATACACACACACACACACACACACACACACATATACGCACACAGTCCCCCATGTGTGTGTGTATATCTATGGATCTGTGGGGTGTATATATATCCACAGAAATGAGGCAAGTGGAGTGAATATATGTGTGTGTGTGTGTTTATTTGTGGATATATATATATACACACCCCACAGATATATATGTGTTTGTGTGCGTGTGTGTGTATATCTATGGATCTTTGGGGTGTATATATATCCACAGAAATGAGGCAAGTGGAGTGAATATATGTGTGTATGTGTGTGTGTGTGTATTTATTTGTGGATATATATATATACCCCCCACAGATCCACAGATATGTGTGTGTGTTTATACAGTAATATATATATATATACACACACACACATACCCACACACACAGTCCACCATATGTGTGTGTGTATCTGTGGATCTTTGGCGTGTATATATATCCACAGATAGATAGATAGATAGATAGATAGATAGATAGATAGATATACATATTCACTCCACTTGCCTCATTTCCAAGAGACCTCTGAACAAACCTCTCAGAATGCCAGCCACAGATGCAGGTGAAACGTATCGGAGAGACTGCAGCTGCAACATGGCCATACAGCCTGGAAAGCTCACAGCAACCCAACGCTTCTCCTGCCTCCTCTCCGCCCTCTCTGCAAGAGGGAACCTGGCATATTTTGCCCTCTTTCTTTCTTTCTTTCTTTCTTTCTTTCTTTCTTTCTTTCTTTCTTTCTTTCTTTCTCCCGCACCGCTTTGTGCCAGGACATTTGCAACCGAGCCCAGCCTGGCGCTCTTCCTTCTGCTGGATGGGGAGATCAAGGGCGCTCCTCTTGGTGGGCCCTCCTTGGTCAAGGCGGCCTTTTCCGGAGAGCGGCCCAGGAAGCCCGGGCGGCCCCCTCCTCACAAAGGGAAGAGGAGGCCAGGCCGGGCAGGAAGCCTTTGAAATGCAAGGATTCAAAGCGCCGGATCCTCCGGTCAAACAAGGTAAAGGGATCAAAACCAGGCTGAGGCAGAGAGATAGATTTCCTCCTGCTAATTGCCTCTCTCATTTTAATGAGGCTGCCTCACTATGCAAACGAAGGGCTGCCTTAATTAGTCTTGAGTGCGAGAGAGGCGCAGAGACACTTCGGGAGGGAGAGAGCCTTTGTTCCCCCCGTACCTTTGTTCCTCCTGCTCCTGACCATCTCGCAAGGTCAAACCAACTCTTCATCGCAAAAGCTTCATTGCAAAGCTTATCCCTCCGATTGCTTTGGACTACAGCTCCCATCATTCCCTCTGATGGGGCTTTTGGGAGTCCAAGTCTCAAAGTGCAGGAGGGCCAAAAAGTAATAATTATAATAATAACAAGAAGAAGAAGAATAAAAAGAAGAAGAAGAAGAAAAAGAAGAGGAAAAAGAAGAAGAAAAAGAAGAGGAAAAAAAACAAGAAGAAGAAGAAAAAAAAGAAAAAGAACAAGAAGAAAAAGAAGAAGAAAAAGAAGAAGAAAAAGAAGAAGAAAAAGAAGAGGAAAAAGAAGAAGAAAAAGAAGAAGAAAAAAAGAAGAAGAAGAAAAGAAAAAAGAACAAGAAGAAGAAGAAAAAAGAAGAAAAAGAAGAAGAAAAAAGAAGAAGAAAAAGAAGAAGAAGAAGAAGAAGAAAGAAGAAAAGAACAAGAAGAAGAAGAAGAAAAAAGAAGAAAAAGAACAAGAAGAAAAGGAAGAAAAAGAAGAAGAAGAAGAAAAGAAGAAGAAAAGAAAAAAGAACAAGAAGAAAAAAGAAGAAAAAGAACAAGAAGAAAAAGAAGAAGAAAAAGAAGAAGAAGAAGAAGAAGAAAGAAGAAAAGAAGAAGCCATACTTTTTTAGAGAAAGAAAATGGGATATAAGGGCCGGGCTTTAGCACAGCAGGTGAATCTCCAGCTGCAGTAAATCTTGCCAACCAAAAAGTTGACCATTCAAAACCCGGGTCAGGGTGAGCTCCTGGCCTTTAGCCCAGCTACTGCCTACCTAGCGGTTTCGAAAACAGCAATGTGAGTAGATAAATAGGTACAGCTTAAGCGGGGAGGTATTTAAGGCACCCATAAGGAAAGGGCCGGACTCTAGCACAGCTAGGGTTAGGAATTGTGGGAGTTGAAGTCCAAAACACCCAGAGAGAGGGCTGAAGTTGTCCCAGGCCTGCAAGAGAGGCCATACTGAGTCATGTCCAGCCTGTGGTAAGAATATTGGCCTGAGTTCGGGGGGAAAGGAAGCCTCCAAGGTGGGAGCCCCAAAAGGCTTCGCTAAAAGGCTTCCGAAGGGGACGCACTGCAAACCTACCTTGCATATCTTGTACAGGGAGTCCTGTCCGTCTCCACCAGTGTCCTTGAAGTAATCGTGGGCAGGGAAGGTCCGGTTGATGTCCCGGGTGATGGCGCTGTCCTGCGGAGACTCCTGAAAAGCCAAGAAAAGAGGAATGGAAATGGGGCGGACGTGAAAGGGGCTGCAAGGAGCCACCAGCCCCGATTTTGCCAAGCTGGTGAAGAAAAACCTGATGACTAGAAGGTTGGCAGTTCAAAGCCATGGGTCGGGGGGAGCTCCCGCTGTTAGCTCTAGCTCCTGCCAACCTAGCAGTTTGAAAACATGCAATGTGAGTAGATCAATAGGCAAAAGGCACCCATGCAGCCATGTTGACAAAACGACCAGGAGGTGTCTAAGGTTGCTTGGCTTGAAAATAGAACAAGAGCACTTCCTCATGGCCAGAGTTGAGTATTGCCTCCAGACGTGGGAGATGGAAATGAGGAGGCCTTTGCCTTTGTTTGTGTAATCTATGTCATTGTTCACTGTTGAGTGTTTGCCTATATATGTGTATACTGTAATCCACTCTTGAGTCCCCTTGGGCATTTTGTGTGTGTATGTGAGTGTGTGTGTGTTTGTATGTGTGTGTATATGTGTATATTCCCCCACATTGATGGTAGTGAAAATACTGTATTTCTTCAACTGTAAGACACACTCAACAACACAAATACGTAAGATATGTTAGGCAAGTGGGCTTACTAACAAAAGACCCTCCTCATAAATGTACAGCAGAGTAACTTATCAGTAGCATGGCCCAGCACTAGTTGCCCAAAGGTGACAAAAATAACAAAAATGCATAATATGGTTGCACTATTTGCACATTTTCCATGACACAAATAAAGTTCAACCTTCACACTGGAGCTTTGCACACGAGGTCTTCTTATACCGAGGCCTACCTCACATTCTGAGGCCTACTAACACTGAGAACTATTCTCCCACTGAGGTGTGCTCACACAGGCTTCTCTCACACTGAGAGCTCTCTCAGACTGAGGTGTGACTAAGCAACCGGCACCCCTTCTTATATAGAACTGCAACTTTTGATGTGTCATTGCATCCATTTAACCCTTTCAGTGCTTGACTCACATATTTGTAATTTAAAATATGTTGGGTTGCTGTAGGTTTTTCCGGGCTATATGGCCATGGTCTAGAGGCATTCTCTCCTGACGTTTCACCTGCATCCATGGCAAGCATCCTCAGAGGTAGTGAGGTCTGTTGGAACTAGGAAAAAGGATTTATATATCTGTGGAAAGAGCAGGGTGGGACAAGGAACTCTTGTCTGCTGGAGCTCGGTGTGACTGGTTCGACTGACCACCTTGATTAGCATTTGATGGCCTGGCAGTGCCTGGAGCATTTCTGAGAACACAGAAATGCTGGACGACTCTCACAACCACCATGTCAGACTACACAGAGAAGCCATCGAAATCCACAAGAAGCACGTGGACAATTTCAACAGAAAGGAGGAGACCATCAAAATGAACAAAATCTGGCTACCAGTATTAAAAAAAACTCTAAAATTACAACAGCAAAACAGCAGAGGGAAAACAATCAGGGACATGTAATCACCTCTCAACAAAAGATTGCCTCAGGCACTGCCAGGCCATCAAATGCTAGTCAAGGTGGTCAGTTGAAACATACACACCTAGCTCCAACAGACAAGAGTCCTTTGTCCCACCCTGGTCATCCCACAGATATATAACCCCTTTTTCCTAGTTCCAACAGACCTCACAACCTCTGAGGATGCTTGCCATAGATGCAGGCAAAACGTCAGGAGAAAATGCCTCCAGAACACGGCCATATAGCCCGAAAAAACCTACAACAACCCAGTGATTCTGGCGATGAAAGCCTTCGACAATAAAAATATGTCGTTAATATTTTGGATATACCTGCAATTCCAAGACGCAGCTCGTTTGTAGACATGTTTATATAAGGGGGGAACTGAAGAAATGTTGTGTGTGTGTCACAATTGATGGTGTCTCACAACCAAAGAAATGTGTCACAACATGAAAATCTGCTTTCTCGTCCTGTCCTTTCCCCTTCTGTTTACAAAATACTGGGAATGATGTGTCCAACCAGTTAAGGCTTCCAAACTTGACCAATGCAATTGCGAAGATTTTTCTGCAGCCGGACAGGAAAGTAGAAAATGTACGGAAACGCTGAGCATTTTTTCCCCCTTTGGTACAAACAAGAGCGCGGCGTGGCCATTGTGGACTCACTCCTCTATTTTTATCCCCTTCCTCCTTGTGAGAATGCGCCAGGCCGGGCTGTTTCTCAGGCTTTCCGAGGGGGAAGGCGAGGCAGAAGGAAAGGAAAAGAATGCAAACGTAAACGGCAGGAAGGTGAAGGAAAAGAGAGCCCTGACGAGAAACAGAACCATCACCGCAATCGTTCCAATCCTCGCCCCGGCAAGCTATTTATCAAAGTTAGACATTCCCACATGTAGGAGATGCTGGTATAATGCGTTGCCATCAGCATTAATGCAAGGGAGGTTTGCAGGTACACCATGCCAGGAAGGAGTCTGCCCATGTGGTATGGAGAAAGTAGAAAGAGGGTGAGCTATAACTAAAGTATTATTATTATTATTATTATTGACACAAAAGCACATTATATCACAGCAAACGAGATCTATATGCTGGATTTCGTATCCCAAAATCAAGCCCTTCCCAAGTTTCTAGGACTGTGTCATGTATTTTCGGATGATGCGCGCAGATCCAAGTCAGGTGGCCTTTTGCAGTTGACAGATTGGGATTTTGTCGATGTTTATTGTTTCCAAATGCCTTATTATTATTACTATTAGAAACACCACACGATGAGTACACAGCAAACAAGGTCACTCTGCTGGCTGTTGTATTGGATCACACGTCGGACACTTCCCAAGTGTCTAGGACTGTGTGATGTTTATTATTATTATTATTATTATTATTATTATTATTATTATTATTATTATAATGTGGAGGTGGAGGCTCCTTTGGAGGCTTTTAAGCAGAGGCTGGATGGCCATCTGTCAGGGGTGATTTGAATGCAATATTCCTGCTTCTTGGCAGAAGGGTTGGACTGGATGATGGCCCATGAGGTCTCTTCCAACTCTTTGATTCTATGATTCTATGATTATTATTTGAAACATAACAAGGTGAGTCCACAGCAGACAAGATCACTCTGCTGGCTGCTGTATTGGATCCCACGTGTCTAGGACTGTGTGATGTATCGGGGAATAATGCGTGCAGATCCCACTAAGGTGGCCTTCTGCAGCTGGCAGATGGTCATTTTGTCAGTGCCGATTGTGTTTAAGTGCAGGCCAAGGTCTTGAGGCACTGCACTCAGTGTGCCCATCACCACTGGGACCCCCTTGACTGGCTTGTGCCAGAGTCTTTGCAGTTCAATGTTTAAATCCTCATCTCGTGTCAGCTTTTCCAGTTGCTTCTATCCAATCCTGCTGTCGCCTGGGATTGTGACATCGACAATCCACAGTTTTTTAACACGATTGTGAGGTCAGGAGTCTTGTGCTCCAAAACTCTGTCTGTCTCAACCCAGAAGTCCCAGAATATCTTGACGTGTTCATTCTCTGAAGGCTGAGAGGAGATATGATAGCCATGTATAAATATGTGAGAGGAAGCCACAGGGAGGACGAAGCAAGCTTGTTTTCTGCTTCCTTGGAGACTAGGACGCAATGGAAGATCGGCTTCAAACTACAAGAAAGGAGATTCCACCTGAACATGAGGAAGAACTTCCTGACTGTGAGAGCCGTTCAGCAGTGGAACTCTCTGCCCCGGAGTGTGGTGGAGGCTCCTTCTTTGGAAGCTTTTAAGCAGAGGCTGGATGGCCATCTGTCAGGGGTGATTTGAATGCAATATTCCTGCTTCTTGGCAGAATGGGGTTGGACTGGATGATGGCCCAGGAGGTCTCTTCCAACTCTTTGATTCTATGAGTCTATGATTCTGTAACTTTTTCCAGCTTGTGATCCCATCAGTTCTGTGTTTCAGGCAGATGGTATTTGTGGTATTATTATTATTATTATTATTATTATTATTATTATTATTGTTATTACTCCTGTTGTACAAAAGAAACCTGGTAGGAATGACAACTATTATGTTTCTGCACCTGGGGGTCGGGACCCCTAAGGGGGTCGGGAGGATGGTTTCGGGAGGGTCACCAAATACCACCAGAAAACACCTATTTCTGATGGTCTTGGGAACCCCTTTGGCAGAGAAGGCTGAAGATCTTTCCGCCTGTCCTTCTCTTCCTTTTTGGAAACAGAGGGCGAATACTTGCACCAAAAGCCCCCCTCCACTGTGATTGGCTGGCCTCTCAGCCAAGGGGACTCCAAGCAAGGAGGGGAGAGCAGGCATGCTCAGCGCATGGCCATGTGGTGAGAAGGGAGAGCGTGCGAGGCTGGAAGGAAGCTCACATCAGCAAGTCCCCTCAAGTCATGATGATCCGGGGTGGGAAGTTTGTTCCAATTCTATTGTTGGTGGGATTCAGAATGCTCTTTGATGGTACATAAACTATAAATCCCACCAATGATAAATGCCTAGGTCCAATGTTTCTGAGACTCCAAGCAGGGAGGGGAGAGCTGGCAGGCGTGCTTGGCACATGGCAACATGGTGCGCATGTGTGGGTGAGGAAGAGCATGCCAGGCTGGAGGGAGGCTTGTGCCAACGAGTCCCTTCAAGGCATGGAGGTTCTGTGTAGGAAGTTTGGCCTAATTCTATTGTTGGTGGGGTTCAGAATGCTCTTTGATTGTAGGTGTTCTATAAATCCTAGCAACTACATCTCCCAAATGTCAAGGTCCATTTCCCCCAAACTCCACCAATGTTCCCATTTGGGTATAAATAATAATAAATAATAATATGGAGTATTCGTGCCAAGTTTGGTCCAGATCTATCGTTGTTTGAGTGTTCTCTGCATGTAAGTGAACTACAACTCCAAAACTCAAGGTCAATGCCCACCAGACCCTTGCAGTATTTTCCATTAGTCATGGGAGTTCTGTGTGACAAGTTTGGAGACTGATAGCTGCCTCTTCCCACAACACAACAACTTCATTTTCATCAAGGGTTTTAAGTACCGGGACTGTGGCACAGCTGTCTGTCAGCTGCATTAAG